CCTTGAATAAATTTTATCCATTATTAGAATATTATTTACTAGATAATGAAGACATTTATTGTCAGTACAATAGCCTATATTGAAACAATATTTTAATTTAACCTTTAAGTTAGGCAATTTAATTTAATTTAAATCAATATAACTCCTAAGTACGGGCAGATATTGCTCACAGATTTTTCCAAAACAATTTGAGGAAGAGCATTCCACCTTCACACCCTTTTCAAAAAATATTAACCGGAAACAAACGAACACAAAAACCTGGTTATGGCATAAATTTTTCTGTAAGGAACTACTGAATTGTACTTTTTGAGCCTGTTGTTGCCATGAGTCGCCGCGATATGTGTTGAGTGTATTCTTGGAACCCCCTGCTGCTAGATGCAAGCCCCCCTCACAGTTCACATCAGCGGGGGGGCTCCTCATCTCACCAACATCCAATAACCGTGCAGTCTGGAGCCCACCATACATAACGCTCGAGAACATCATTTCACCGGACAAAAGGTGCCGTTAATATGTTTGGTAATCACACTGTCCGTCTGTCTGGTATAATAATTACCAATACCATATCAACAGATAGGCCTAGGCGCTCAAGACAACTAATCACTGACGACGTTTCTACTGGCGGCTCAAAGGAAGCCATTTTCTTTCTTCTTAATTACAAACCGCTGCCATTAAGCCTACGTGGTGCATTAATCTATGTGTGTTTCAGACAATTTACTGGTCAAGAGTCCTAAGCAGAGGTAAAAACAATCAAAATAACCACTGACAATTAACTAATAACCAAAACAAAGACTACGTCACACACACTCTAGCATAGAGCAAGCCACGATCTGGTGGTTAGAACTTTTTCGTTCTGTATCCTGAAGAGTAGTGCAGAACACGACGTTTCGGAAAGTGGGTGTGTTTCCATCCTCAGGTGATGGGGTGGGAGACAACTATTCTTTTGGATCTCATATACGTACACCATCGTTAGAAATCTTTAGAATCTACTGGTTCATATTCGTGAGATCCAGAGAAAATTTATCCAGATTAAAGTGTTCGTGACTTTCTTCAGTCCAACCTGACAAATGCTGGATCACTATCGATTTCTTCAACGTTCTTTTCAATACATAATTCACAATTATCTTAATATTCGACTATCTTTCTTCACGGAACTGAGCCCTTCTTGAGAAGCCGCCAATTCTGCATCTACTCAAGAATTTCCCAGCATTTTATGGAAATCGAAAGTTAACTACCGTGTTCACAAGAGCCCTCCACTGATCTCTATCCTGAGCCAGATCAGTCCATTCAATACGACCCCATCCTGTCTCTCTAAGATCCATCTTAATATTATGTACGCATATAGTTTTGCTCTTCCTAGTGGTCTTTTTCTTCTGGTTTTCACACCAATATCCTATATGCATTTATCTTCTCCCAATTCGTGCTACATACCCTGCCCATCTCATCCTCCTTGACTTGATCATTCTAATTATACTTGGAGAAGAGTACAAGTTATGAAGCTCTTCATTATGCAGTTTTCTCCAGCCTCCTGTCACTTCATCTCTCTTCTGTCCAAATATTCTCCTCAACACCCTCTTCTCAAACACCTTCAGTCTCTGTTCCTCCCTTAGTGTCAGAGACCAAGTTTCACGCCCATACAGAACCACAGGCAAAAATTACTAATACTTTTGCATATTCTCTAAAGAATCCCTGTAAGTACGAGACCCATTGTGATATTTCATAACACGCTTATTTTTTTACGGTGAGGAGTTGTTAACCCCACGCCCTACTCCTAAGCTGAAAGACCGCCCCTGGTTGTTGTACGCCACTGCTTATTCAATATATTTGCAGGTTCCCTCCATATCTGGAGGGCGTCTCCTTCATCCGCAACCTGAGGACGTGCCGTGCCGTCGTGACAAGGGACCCACCTAAGATGGCCATACACAGTAACGCGCAATACCGTCGTGACAAGGGACCCACCTAACGTGGCCATACACAGTAACGCGCCATGCCGTGGTGACAAGGGACCCAACTAACGTGGCCATACACAGTAACGTGCCATGCCGTGGTGACAAGGGACCCAACTAACGTAGCCTAATATTCGACAGTAAAAGAAATATGTACTTCAGGCGTCTTTAAATAAAATAAACGCAAATAAGTTCCATATATCTACGGAAACAATCAATTGCGCCCTTTTATTTCATAGTTCTTTTAATGACGATATATCAGCGACACAGGCTTGCCTCAGAAGTCAAATGAATGCCCTGTATACCGAAATGTGCATGATATAGAAGGGACTGGTTATGCATACGCACTTCTAGGGTAAAGGTAAAGAAAAGTGAAGTTCTTCCTGTGCTCAACGAATTAAGCACTGTACCATGAAGATGTATGGGGGAGTGGGTGTATAGATCCACATTTTCTTGACCTCGGCGCTAGATTGAAGTAAGTGGTCAGCATTACGCCCGGTGTAATTCTAGGGGCTGAGAAAAATTCAGAATGGCTGACCTCCGGCCTGAGAATTGAACCCTGCTACCACTACACTGAAACGTACTGCTGAACTGATTCAGGTGAATTGCTGTAAGGCAAACTGAACATATGGACCTATCATCTAAATCCGTTGCTGG